GAAAATCCAGGGCAACATGAAAATGTAGAACACTGAAATAAATTACTGAAACTGATATATATTGTTCAGAATGTAGGAAGCTTGGATGCTTCATAGGAAGTCAGTTAGCAGATGGACTGAAATATATAGAGACAGGGAAATGTATCTTTGGAAGGGTCTAGGTACCTGAGGTTTTGGAGCTTGCATACTGAAAAATAGGCAGATCAGGTGTATCTCTCAGCTGAACGTGTACTTTATGCTACAGATGCAGATGACCATGCCAACAAGGATTCAACACATGCATAAATACATGGTTAAGGATTTTGAGTGTGGAGGATAGCTAGGCTTGGACAACATGTGTTAGATTCCTCATATGTCTTCTCAGGGTAAAACTTTTCACTTTGTGACTGTAGTTAATCAATTAATGGTCAAGTGTCTATGCTGCCATAATCTTCTGCAGAGACAGAAGAAAATGATACAGCTTCAGTTTCTGGAGCAACGTGCGTGTTCTCCTTTTCTCTACCATGGGATATGTTGGTCATTTCCTTTTTTAGTTAATTAGTTCCAATTACTTCGGGCTACCTGTTCAAGCTGAAAGAGGTAGTGAGGAAGCCAGGCTGTATTAAGGTCCATTTAACACCTATTATGGCCCCAGCTATAGATCTGGTCTTGGCTTTGTCATCCATAATGTAGTCATATATTATTTTCTCATTCTTTACCTTTCCCTCTTACAGTGAAGACATGGTTTGTGTATCTATAGGGAGGGAACAGAAGTAGTGCTAGGTATGCCTTGCCCTTACATGCCCATGCTCTGAGTCTGAAGCGGGCAGGACAAAGCATACCAGATTACAGGGTATGACAGAGGAAAAAAGTTCTGTTTATTTCAAATGATACATGTACATGTAAATTACATACTTCAGGTACTGCTAAGTAATCTTTTTGCATAATTAAGATAAGCCTTAATTTTAAGAATGTCTTTTCCCTTCCTGGAATTTGCTGACACACTGATTGCACCTCAGCCATCTCCTCAAATAAGCAACACAGGCATGTGTCCTAGAGATAAACAGACCTCTTCCAAGCACTGTTTTGATTCATTCCTAGAGCTGGTTCATTATGCGTATTGGATGGAGACTGGAGACCTCTAAAAAATTATTATGGTTGTGTAATTAAAGACTAGCATAATACATATACACAAAAGTGTAAAATGCAAATTATTTTTTTTCTCATTTTATTTTAGTGTCTTGACTCTGCAGTTATTTTGTGGCAAAGTTACTGTTTGGCTGTTTTTTTTCAAGTTGAGAGATTGTAGACACTGTATTTTGTGATATTTTTAATCAGCCTTACAAGTAAGATATTTAAAGGTAGAAAGTTGAGGCCCAACTTCAACTGGAGGTCCATTTCCCTTTGTGATCCTTCAAAAATCTGATCCCACATATGCATTTGTAGTTTTTCATTATGCTTAACTTACTTTGAGGAAGTCTATGTTATTGCAGAATGTATAGATAATAGCCAAGGGCTGGGACTTAAGTTCTGAGACCTATATCATCTTTCTTTTTCTTTCTTTCAAGACTGGAGTATTGTAAGAACTGAAATATTCTGCTATATACACTAGAAGCTGACAGGAAGAAGCTACTGGCTGTACACAGCAAAAGTACAGTCCAACATGGACAGGCTGGACTTAATCTTTTGCTAACTTAATGATTGCTGTGTTGCCAAAGGCAGTGCCTTGTAGTTGGAGATTTCTCTTTTATCCATATTGTAGTTTATCTAAGTAGGTCATAGGATCTTTGTCTTCTCTAGAAGATCCCAGCCAATTTTCCAGACTAGCTGGATTTTCAAACTACTTTTCCAAGTTTTTTTATTCTGCTTTATCATTCTGTTGTTTATATTTTGATTTTCATTCATGGTTCTAGTCCCAGAACTTGCAGAGTTCTCATGTGCTACTAAGGACCTTTATGAATTGTTTCTGTTCTTGGGATTATTTGGCAGTAGATTGGTAGCCTGTGGAAACATTGAAAAAGCAAATCTGGGAGATGGAAACAGTATCAGTTCACAAAACCAGGAGAACCTGTTTATGCTGAGAAATAAGGAAGCATCATCCTTTGCCTGTGTGTGCAGAAGCACCAGGCTTCTTGGAAGAAATTGCTGAATTTAGGAAACAATCTTACAATCCACTGAGTACAAATGAGTTACTACTGAAATGAAAGCTACTATGAAAAATGGTAATAGCCCTTTTACTTAGGAGCTAGAATGTTAGCCCTGACTTGTTTGTTTTATCACACACGCTACAAAATCTGTAGTCAGCATGCGTTATGCATATGCCACAACATACATGTAAAAAACTGTTGTGTATAAACTTCCTTTACTTGAGTTAGCTTGCTCAAGTGCTGTAGTGGGAAACGTTATAATTGCCTATGTAAAGAGTTTGGATTAAATTAATCGTCCTGTGTCCAATGTAGGTCAAATTTCATCTTGCAAATATATTGCAGATTTGTACGCCCCTTAAAAGGTTAGAAAGATCCTACATTCTAGCAAACCTGCCCTGTATAGCCTTACCTTTGATGCTACGATTTTTTTTTTCTCCCCTTTTTTCACATGTGTCCATGTGCACAGCTCCTTGGGAAGTTTTAGAACAAAGTAGGACCTCCCCGGGATTTGCTGCCACAGTAGCATACTTAAGATATAACATGCATATGTTAATAAAGGACAATTACATTCAATTTGTAGGCTGTGTCCTCTTCTGAACTCACTCCTACTGGTCTTTAAGACTGTAATCTCAGGAATGTTTAAAGCTGGAATAAACTACTGTTGTGGCAAAAGCAGCGAGTCCTGCCCTTTTGCTGTCCTGCCAGTGTTGGTTTTGCCAGCTCAGCTCTGCTACAGCTGTATAGTAAACCAGATCAGGGGACTGATCTGACTGAAAAATACTTCCCCACCCCAGTTTAGGATATAAGATGCATGTTCCTTTCATCTTTTCTCTTCAAAGATGCCATAGTTCAGTACTGTAACACCTGACCTCCTTACATATTCACAACACAGATATTTAAAAGGTATTTAAAAGAAAGAAATAGAAAAAGACAAGTAAAACTCTTGCTTTGCGGGAAAGATACAGATTCTGTTTAATGAAGTCACTAATATATCACAAGAATGGAATATTTTTACAACCAAATTACACTTTTTCTATCTAGCCTCCCATTTCTTTTCAGAAAGTGAATATGAAATAAAACAAACTCTTCTCTCCTACTACATATTACCAAGCAGTGTGTTGTTTTAATGAAAATAAAGTTTTCTGTTAGGAAAAATAATGACCTCAGGATTTTTTTTGGGTGTTTTTTTGTTTTGTTGTTGTTGGGGTTTTTTGTTTGTTTGGTTTCCCAAGATCTATTTTAGATTTCCTGGGAATAAATTTTATTTTATATTCCATATGTATTGATCCACTTGGATAGGTGAACAAGTACTTTTTAAAATATAGTATACAAATGTATACAGCGTTCTAACCAGCTGTAGAAGACATAAAAATCATCAACAATGAAAACTGAAAATCAGTGAGCTCATTTGAACTTCAGTGCTTAGTATAGCTTCTAACAGAAATCAAGTGTTATTCTTTGGCCATGTTTCACTGCCAAAAAATGCTCAATAGATGAAATAAATGTGTGAAGAAAATAATGCTAGTCCACTTGTAGAAAATACAAAAGAGTATGTTGGAGAAAGGAAGTTGGATCTTCAGTGTAAAATAGGCAGACTGTGGGAACATGAGATTTTTGGCAGTAGGAAGATCTGTAGTTCAGAGCTTTCTGTAACAGCAAACTTTTAATAATGTATATTTATTAGAATTCCAGAACAGGAATATTAAAGCTTAATTATACCAGTGAACTAATTCTCTCCTTTAGTTTTATTTAAAGATAACCTAAAAAAAATAAAAGGGGGTTCAAGAGAAATAATACTTAAGACAAAACTTGTGTTACATTTTCTATGGATACTGCTGCTCCTTATCTGAGGATTTTCAGTTTTATTCTTTCAAGCAAGAAGATTATCTTGTAGTAAGCACTATTTGGAAAATATTGTTCCAGAGGTTTGGGGGCATATTACAATGAAGATTTCAGTTTGCACAGTGGAATGTTATACTACTCTTTATTAATTGTAGCATTATATAGCGTACAAAGAAAAACTTCTATCTTTTACATACTTGTGCTTTACTTTTTTTCAATGATAGTGATAAGAGTAAGAAAATTAATATTTTTTAGAAACTGTCTGACTACAAGGGGGGGACCATTCTGTTATGCTGTTCCATTGCATACAGTACTCTAGATACTTTGTTCCCTTTTCTTCTTCTCTTTTACTTAAAAAACAGAAGCTGAACTACAGCAAATTAAAAATGAGAGATTCGAACACTACAAATCAACCCTTGTTCACGTTTTTGAGTGCCCTAGTCTGAAAGTGTTGCATATCCTATCTTGCTTTTTGTTTTGTATTGCATCTAGTGTACTTTCCTTAAACCTCTGAGATTCATGTTAGACATTTGAAGAATCACTTGGTACTTTCTGGAACAAATGTGCCTGCTGGCATCTTGAGCATTGCTTGCTTCTGCTCTGATGTTAAGGTAGCACTGTGACAGAAGGCAGATGATGAAGCTGTAAAACAAAAATCTCTGAAGTCTGAAACAATTTTACTTCTCCAGTGTAAACATTAATATTGCTTTATTTCTAAGTTCTTATTTAAATGATAATTTTTAGAATTAACTCTTGTTTGTATATATATTTTTAGAAGTATTAAAAAGCCTCTCTGCATAGCTATACTGGTAAAAGCAGCAGTTGCAAAATGAAGGGTATCATTTTAACAACTGTAGGCTTATATTTATCATTTTTTTGTAGTATAAAAAGTTCTATCAAGAAGAAATATAGAATTGGATGCTAGAGTTTTATAAAGTAAGAAATGAGCCTGTGTTAGAAAATGATTTTTTTCTATAACAGTCTTTCTTTCCTTTTTTTTCCTTTTTTTTTTTTTTTTTTTTTTCTAGGACCGGAATAGGCCCTATGACACTTTTAACTTGCACTCTTTGGAAAATTCCTTAATGGATATGATAAGGACTGATCATGAGCCTCTGAAAGGTAAACACTACCCTCCCAGTGGCCCACCAATGAGTTTCGCTGATATAATGTGGAGGAATCATTTTACAGGTTAGGAATATTCATATGTCCATGCTTGCTTGGTGTTTAAACAAAAATCAGCTTTTCAGTATTGCTATGAACTTTTTGCTAATGAGTTGTCAGTTATGTAAAACCTCTGTTTTCCCCAACTTAAGATAATCATCTACTGTAGGAAGATAAGGTGAAATGTGTATACATTTATTACAAGTGCACAATCATAATATTATCTAACTGGCATTTCTGAAACTTGGTTTTGTGTAACAACAAATTGCACAGTTGGGTCTCCTGCTGCAGTCACTCATTCAGAAAATGTGCAGTGCAACTGGAGTCCAATTGTTATGTTCAATATCTTATTCAAAGTTAATACTACTATTGGTTTTGGATCATCAGCTAGTGTACAGGGTTCTAAAACAACTTCTGTATCAAGCTTACTCTCTACAGTTGTTTCAGGTTTCTTTTAAAAAAAAAAGTATCTTAATTTGGATTTCAAATTGTTAGGAGGAACTAAAAGCTATTAGATATTAAGTGCTGGGAAAGTTTTATTTATGCCACTAAACTGTGTTTGTTCTACTAGGTGTACTGTTGGAGATGAAACCATTTCTAATACTTAGCTGATACTGAATAGTGACAGGTCGTGGCAGCATTTTAATGAGTAAACATTCCTGATCGACACGCATGCTCCTCTGTCTTAATCTTTCATTGGTTAAGTTTAAAAATAGATACACATTCTTGGTGACTTTGAAGACTGAAGCTAATAGTAAGCCATATACAAAGGAAGTGTTGAGCTAGAAATGATTCCTAAACTCTTAAGAAGTCAGGACACTGGAACTGATAGAGAAGAAATTTAGTTGTGTATGGCACTTCTGTGTTAATGCTTATATACATACTTCTCTGATGTCACAACTGCCTCATCAGCTCCCCTCCCATTTATATATTACATGTGGAAAAATATTTTTTCTTGGTCTAAGGTCTTGTGCCTTTTTCACCATCTTTCTGGATACAGAGATTTATTACAACCATACCAAACTGGGTTTTGTACTCTCAGCTCTTTTAACCTGTGCTTTCCACTATTTTCTTTAAATTTGCTGTGCTATAGCCTTTATGTGTCTTTAACCATTATTCAGCTGTCTAAAATGGCAAGAAATACTGTCTCATATCTGTTCTGATCATAGTCCTCACAAATAAGTGTTAACCTGAAACTTATAAAAAACAAGCTCAACAAAATTTGGATTTCTGCTGGATATATATTTCATATGGCTGGTATTAAAAAATAAAATCCAAATTGCTAGTAAGTAGATTTAAATATTTATTGTATCTTATTAAATGTATTATAATCTAGTTAAAACTCCATGGTTCTTATATCAGTATTTATTTAAATACAGAAATTGAGACTAATTTTTTAAGGACTGAATTTCCATATGAACCTGACCATGGAAAAATGAAAGATTGGATTAGAAATTGTGTTATTCTAGAAAAAGGCTTTAACATTATGTAAGTGCAATTTTGCTTATACTTTTATTATTGTCTCTTTGTAACTATTTTTAAATGTTTTTTGATCAGAATATTAGCACATAAAATAATAATGGGTACAAATCTTTAATTATTTTGTGTTGCTGGGTCATCATCAACTATCCAGAATAGTTTCCAACACTCAGCTAAGTGTTGCAAGTAGCGTATTCCACAGCCGCACCTGAGTGTCATAAGGCTATTTAATGTTGATGTTTTACATGACGTAGAAATGAAAGTCTTGATTTCATTAAGCATCTTCATTTACAAGAAAAGTAACCTTTCCAAACCACACTCAATATTTTCCTCTCTACTAGGTTATCAGTTTATCTAGGAGCCTGACTAGTTTAAATGGACATTTGAAAGCAGTAGGAACTGTTCCCTTCTGCACAAAAAGTAAAACCAAAGAGTTGGGTATTAATTGTAAAGTTTAAGTTGATGTTTTCCATTTGCCAGTGGGACTGATAGCTTTAGTTTTTCTCTAACAAACATTTCTGTTGCTTACTGGATGTGCTCTTTCTATCTCATTTTCTCACTCAGTCCTGCCTACCTCTTTCGGCCTTCCTGCCTCATTACTTAGCTCTCTTTCCAGCTTCCAGTCCAGTTACTGTTGGAGAAGTCTTGTCTGCTATTAGTTTTCTGTCTCTGCCCAGCTGGTGTTTTTTCCCATTTATATAGTTAATTCCCTGTCTTGCTTTTCCTGTTCCCTCTAACTACTGGGCTTACTTTGCTAACCTCCAGCCTTGGCCTGACCTAGCATGCACTTTACTCCTGTTTTCACACCATGCAGCATGACTGGCAATATTTGTAGGAGTGGCTGTTTCAGGACATGCTCATTCTGCCTTCCAAGAAGTGTTGTTTTCCTCTGTGTTCGGCAGATCTATGTTACTATTTTAACTGAATCCTTTTCATAAAAACCTAACTATTTTTCTGCAAACATTGATCCACTCCTCAAATCACTTTCCTATTGCATTTTCGTAGTTGCCTTTTCCATGAAAATTTTCACTCTTCCCCTGTACCTCCAAGTTTCTGCTTTTCTCTACCAAAGATGCCGAAGGTTTTCAACTGCTGTCCTCCCCCACACCTTCGTCATATTTCACTTAATCTTGTCTTCTAAACTCACTTGCTTTTTTCTTATTTATCCCACTCTCCTCTCTCCTGCTTAAAGTAGCAGCACATTTTAGTCTGTAATCACCTTGAGAAAGCAAGTGATTGACTCTGCTTTTGCTTGTTTCTTAAGTCATTGTCATATTTTCATTTATTTTCACCTTGAAGCTTTTTGAATATACTGGTTATGTACTTCAGCTTGATTTTTCAGTTCCTCATAGACATTCCTGTGTGAATGCCTCTTGTGTGAAATTTCAGCTACTCTCTCTGGAATCTTATTAACTTAACCAAATCTCAGAGCTAGTTCCTCTTCATTTTACCTCCTCTGTCTTTCATAGTAAACTGGGTGTGTTTTTTCCCTTTAAATTTTACCTTCTTCTGACATCTGTGACTGTCCTCTCTCAGGTTTTGTGCAGCTTTTTCTTGTGCAGATAGAAAGTAAACCAGCCACAAAAATCCTGGTTTAAAAAACAGGCAAAGAAAAATAATGAGATGGCTTTCAAATTACTTTTAAAATTGTTCACCTTTTGGTAAATAAGCCTTGTTTTCTCAAACAATTTTAGCTAACAATGCTTGCATGTCAGTTGGGCTTGTATTTGCTATCCAAATTTTTAAACAGAAGGGGTGTAAAGATGAGTACCAAAAGCCTCTGATTTTGACAACACAGAAAGATTTAATTCTAGAAAAGCTATACATGTCTTGGAGCCTCCAACGGATGTTACAAAGCCAGTCCAGCTATTTCAGGATCATTTCAGCCTGCTGCTGACAACAAAGTCTTCAGCAAATGCATATTTTTAGAAGTACTGTCTGTATATGTATTCATTAGTAAAATATTGCAGGTGGTTGATCTGAAGTTTGAAACTTTGCTTGGAACATAGACCTTCTTGGCATATGTGCCCACTCACATCCCAGCAGATACTTGAAACAAAAAATAATTATCTTGGATATATAACAAGGGCTCTAGGTTAGAATGTGGATGGGAGAGTTAACCATAAAAGATTCTGATGTGAAGACCGAATTGAAATGGTTGTGGGATATTTTCTTTTCACTTTGGGTATAAGTTCCTCATGCTCTGCATTGTTCAGTGGAGAACCTCAGGGGTGAGAAACGAAGAGCCTATCCTTGTAGTAGTTGAAGCTTCATACCTTCTCTGATCAGACTTTGTCCTGTAGGCTATGGAAACTGAATTTATTTCACGGTCACCAAAGCAGGTCACTTTTTTTAAAGCATGATCCAGTCGGCCTCCAGAGGGCATGTGATTAAGTGACTTTGAGGGGTGGAATGTTGCTTTCAAGTGTGGAACAAGAGAAAGGCTGAGGGTTTGTTAGTGCAGCAGAAACTAATGGATCTTGAGTCTTGCAATATTGAATTACTTACATTGAGCGAGTGCTAACTCAGTCTGATTGGCAAACTGGCTTGGTGATCCCAGCTGGGAGAGCTAGGGTCATTTAGGTTTTTTTGGGTGTTTCTTGCTGCAAGAGGGATTTGATACCTAGTTCTGAGGTTTGTGGACTTAGATAAATTACCAGCTTATCCATCTATGTTGCATTTTCTCTTGAGCCCAGTCCTGGGAGGTGTTCAGAGTCAGCTCTTCCTCTGTTTCTGTCTGAAACTGATTTCTTTTTCTCAGGTTTTCCTACCAGATAGAAGTACCCTGCTGTAGGTTCCTGTCTTTCTGTCCTCATAGTCTGGGAACTGTGTAACTTTACAAATTGTTTGCCATTTTCATGCTTTGAGATCTAAAGAATGTAAACTCATTCAAAAGGAAGTCTCATTTTCTTTTCTCCCAAGACGGTTAAGCAGAGTTCCCTACCTGCTTTCTCTGCCATCAAGCCTAGCTTCAACATTTTTCTTCTCTTTCAGGTAATACTCATAAATCCTTTTCTCCTTTCAAAAAGGAAGAAAAAAAGAGGGAAAAAGTGCAGTAAAGGACTTGTTAAGCTTCTTCTAGTTAAAAACGAATTACTGTATATGGCCAAGGGTATCTGGTTGTTCCCTGTGTCAGTCAGTTCCCTGTGTCAGTCATAACCAGGCCTATGTGACAGAAGTATGCAATATTTTCTAAGATGTTTTTCCTGAACTGCCTTATTTATTTTCTGAGTTGTTAATAAAATATATTGTACGCTAAAAAACATGGGAGAGAGTTTTGCTTTAACAAGGAAAGGATATATTTGCAGTATTTTATAACTTGTTGGTACTGATGTGCTGCTTCTACCTAATGCTGTAGGGCAAAACTGAATTATCAGAATAGCTATGGGGAGATGCTACTTATTATTGACTAAAACATTTCTTTCCTACATCAAAGTGTCTCCTGTCTATGGTGTAATATGCCACTGTTGCAATATGTT